GAATATGCAAGGGTATATTGTTATTTGTTGTTGGTAGAGATGGAAATAATCAGATTTACCCAATTGCATGAGTTTTCGTTCAGTCAGAAAACAATGATTCTTGGCAATGGTTCATGGAAAAGCTTGCACATGATTTAGAGTTAGGGAATCGACAGGGTTACACCATAATTTTCGATAGACATCTAGTAAGTATTTATCATAATTATTGTTAACTTTTTATGATTAGGGACATGTGTTTATTATAATAATTAATTTCATTTTTTATTGTGCAAGGCATTATTAATGCAAAGGCAGAGTCTTACCATTGATAGTGCATAGATATTGTGCAAAGCACCTTTACTGCAATCTTATAAGGCGAAATAGAGGTGATGACATCAAACTTGCATTTTGCTTGGCATGTAGGGCAACCAATGAGTTCAACTATCTGGACAAAATGGATGCTTTGAGGGCATTGTCTGAGGAGGCTTATGCTTAACTGAATGAACTGCCTAGTAATTTCTGGTGCAAAGCCTTTTTTGATGAGCATTGTAAGTCTGATGTAGTTGATAATAATATGTGTGAGACTTTTAATGCATGGATTTTGGGTGCAAGATGTAAGGCCATTATTTCAATGTTTAGGACATTAATTGACCAGCTTATGGAGAGATTTAAAGACAAAAAGTTGTTTGTTGATACATGAGCAACTAATATTGCACCTAGAGTTTTGAAGAAGATTAATGATAATAATAACCTATCAATGCAATGCAATGTTCGGTGGAATGGTGACAATGACTTTGCGATGTTTGATGGGCAGACACAGCAGACACATGTGGTCAATGTCCAAGAAAGAAATTGCTCATGTAGATAATGGAACCTCATTGGAATTCCTTGCCTACATGCTCTTTGCGCATTCAGATTCAAAGATTGGTGTTTTGAGTACTTTGTTGATGAATACTACAAAAAGGAAAAGTACCTTCAATCTTATGGGACAACACTGGAATGCCTAAGAGGGAATGAAGTGTTGAAAAGGGGCCAAAAGGAGGATGTTTGCCATTAGAGATGAGATCAATGCCAAGATGCCCTAAAAGGAATAGAAGAAAGGCAAAGGATGAGCCTAAGAAAATTATGAATGGGAAATTGACCAAGTTATCAAAGCATGTATTTGTGTACACTTGTAGTGTGTGTGGTGAACAAGGGCACAACAAAGCTGGATGTCCACACAAAGACAAAGAAGAAGCAGGCCCTAGTCAAACCAAGGCAACTTTGCTATTGCATTTTATTTGCGCAATGTTATACTTTATTTATGCAAGGTAACTTTAACATGTTAACTTTATTTAATGGTAGGTTAAGAAAATATGTAAAAAGAGTTCAAAAGCAAAAAAAAAAAAAGAACACCAAGGTTGGTAAAAAAGGTGATACTGTCTGTCTGAAAGGGGTTGAAGGAAAAACAACAAGCAAAGCAAAACAAAAGATTAATGATAGTGTAAAAAAAAATAACAATATTTATTGTGTACAATTCCATTTTTTTTTTTAGTATAAGGTAGTGAAATATGCACCATTTTTTTTTTTCAGTTCATGGAGGCTGCTGGTATTGTCATCAATGAAGGCAAAGAAGAATCTAGAAAAAAATCCAAGTAGGTGTAGAACAAACAAAGTTCAAAAGGAAAAGGGAAGGAGCAGGCTTGAGAGAGCCTGAAGGTTGGTTTCTGATGGCATGACTTTTTTTTTTTTTTTTGTTTATTGGCATTATATACAGTTACTAATTTGGCCTTTAATGTTTTACTCTTATTTATGTATGAAAAATGTATTTATGTGCTCATGAACAAACTTATTTTGGTATAAGGGACATGTGTGTTTCTTAACAACCTATTGGTGTTATGAAGTAGAATGTTCTTTTGGTTCTTTTTTTTGCTACAAAAAGTTTACCTTTTGTTGTTATTTTACAGTTTGTAGGTTATCAGAACCTAAATATTTATGTATTGCTTTACAAATGTAGAAGAGCCCTTTTTCCATTGCTACATAACATGTTCTATTGATTACATTACAATAGTTGATAGGTATGTTTTCCAAGCTTCCAAAATTTTGTTCATAACAAGGGCCATACATTTACACTTGAAACACGACCTACCCACTTAGAACAACACCTAAAACATCAAATACACAACCATTAGAATAAAGACACCAAAAACAGTATGAACCATTAATTTTTTTAGCTCAACACTAATAGAGGCTACAATCAAGACATCCAATTTCCTTTCAACAATATCATTCACAGCATTTGCCACAATTTTCTCAATAATTTCATCTAATTTTTGTATGGTGTCCTCATCTCTTGTAGAAATGGTGTGGCTTGACTCAACAATTGCACCTCCATTCATTCTGTTTTTTAATTGCCTTCTAAATACTGAATTTTCTATTGTGAGAGCCTTTTTCTCAGTAATCAACAACTTCAATAGCTTAATGGCTCTTTCATGTGACAATTCCAAGTCATGCCAAACAAAATACGGGCACTTTAAATCCTGTCATTAAATAACCTAAAAGTAGTAAATAAAAATTGAAAGAAAATAAAAAACAACAGATGAGTAATTTTGCATTGGCTTAAGGTAGAACCCCAAATTTACCTCATTTAAGAAGCGTTGGTAACCATAAAATCGTCTCCCAATGCTTCATGATCTCCATGAAGTCCACCTTGGTGTCTTGAAGCCACACTCACAGTACATTTGAGGACCTTCATAATTGTGCTCAACCAGCCCAACATCCTTCACAACTGTTGCACCAACAAAGGCTCGACAAGGTTCAGCTTGAGAATTAGACGAAGATTCCATGAGAATAAACTCACAAACACCCACAATCTTTTCCCCTTGACTAATTTCAAGAAAGAATTGAAGAAATGAGAGAAAGAAGAGAACTCGAACCCCCAACTCTGAAAACTTGAACTAGGGCAAACAAGTTGGCCATAAAATATCGGTTAAAAATGGGATATAGAGTGGGACCCACTAGCCATAGTGTCAAACAAAGGGTGTGCAAATGACATGATGTGTTAAAAAGAGTGGGATTGGTACATATCAGCCTCCAACGTGTAAAAAAACAACACGGTGGCACTGGCTAACGAAGATCGTGATGGTGATAACGTTAACAATTAAATAATGAGTGATTTGGGTCAATCGATAATGTTGGAAGGCTAAATGTCTCTTCATTTTTGTGGATGGTGGATTTGTCTTTATCTATATTTTTTAAGGGGTGATTTGAGAGTTCTGCCTTTCGAAATTATAAGCTAGTCATCTATTTGAATTAAGTCCTTGGATCCAATTATTCATCCTAAAACTTTATTACTTAGATTTAGTTGGTTGAAAATTCAACTCTTACTAATGACTTGAAAAAAAAAATCTTCTGTTCTACAAAATTCTCCCTTAATTCGAAAAAAACAAAAAAACCAATCACCTATTTGGATCATATTGCACTGTGGCATGCGCTATTATTGTCTTGGGCTTTTCAGCCACTACCTTTAGTCTACATTGCATTTGTTACAAAAAGTCCTTAAGGAAAACCCTTAACAGACCCCGCTTGTTTAACGATTATTTTCATTTTTATGCGCCTAAGGAAATCCTAAAGGCCCTAAACATGTTTATCCGTTCATACGTTAATGTCAGCCACGTTGCATGCATCAGCCATTTCTGCAATTTAAATCAGAACCGTCGATCAAAATACCAAGGAGAAACATTGGCGTGCGGTAAAGTGGGTACGTGGAAACGCCGTATACGATTCAGATGCCGGCGAAACCCTCCCCATTCCCCAATCAACATCAAATCTAACCAAATCTTGGCCAGCTCAGAGATCGTAATGCCCTAAGCCCCACAACCCAAACCCAAATCGTTACGTGTCTTATGCCAATTGAAACAACCCAGGTGAACCCCCTAACATCTTTCCAAACCAAATTCCAAGTTTCCAATCAAATCATCGTGGCATGCTCTCCGCCTACCCCTTGGTCCCCTTTCATCCCCTTTCCTCATCTGTATTATCATCATCAATCAGGTTGACTCCATCCTTAAATCCTCAAAAAGTGAATAATAGACCCTTTTTCCTTCTTCAAAATAAAATAAAATAAAATAATACTAACATTTTCCTTCTTTTCCTCCCTTTGCTTTCTTGACTGGAAGGAAATCTCATGTCTTACATTTAGGGAAAAAAAAGAAAAAAGAAAAAAAGAAAAAAGAGAATCTTTTCTTTTCCTGTTTTTTTTTACCTAGTTTAACATTAATTTCTTCATCTATTAACTATAGGTGGTGATTCTGATTCCTATTCAAATCAACTACGATGACGCTAACGTTATCCGTGCTGTGCCTGGCCAAGGCCAATTTGGTCAACAAAATAGAAGCATCCCAACAGGCCTTATCGGAGCTCTCGGTGGAGCCACATCTGACCGCCGCCTCACTCCCTGGTGATCCTGGTGGCGAGGGTGGTCTCTGTGCGCGCAAACACATTCGGGCTACTCCACATGCCATGTCATTGGTCACGACATCCCAAAGACCGTCGCTGGCAAGAATTAAGCACTCATCCTCAGCCGTTCTGTCTGTAATCGTCACCTCTGGCTCCGATATCACATACGGCTTCAGATAATTGTCACCTATTGCTCTAGACATGGCTAACATCCCCAGGACTCGGGGACTATCCCAAAAGATTACACGGCCACCGGCTGCTTGGATCCGAAGCAACTCATCGGGTCGATCAGGCTGTGATAACAAACGTCAAGAAAGAAATATGATGAACAGATGTATAAGATGATTCCATAAATATTCAAAAAAAAAAAAAAGCAGCAAATACTCGCCTGTTTGGTAGCAGCCTAAGAATACAAGCAGATGTAAGGTCTTCGGCACCGACGGAAACAAAATAAATTTTTTTTTTTTTTACTTTGATTAATGAAAAATTATATAACAAAAATTTTCCTTTGTTTTCTTTGATTTTCTCTAATTCTCTCTCAAAACATAACAACCGAATAAAATAAAAATAATAAGTGGAATTAACACTAACGAAAAAATATGATTGGTTTGCTAAGAATAAAAAATTCGCTCTTGAATTTACGAACGGAGACTGATATCCGATGAATCATGACCGGAAGGGTCTAAATATGTTCGACCAATTAACAAAATGGAAATCTACAAACTTAGATGGAAGGAAAATAGCTCTCACCTTGTGATCTGATGAAAGTGGAAAAGCGGCGGCGTTTCTGCAAAGGACAGCGCGGGAATCACCGCAGTTGGAGACGATGATCTTATCCGGTGTCACAATTGCAATCACGGCAGTAGATCCGACGGCATCGCACTGAGGAGTCTGGAGCTCGCAACGGCAATTCGAGGTCTTTGCACTTTCAGGCTTTTCGGTCCACGCCTGCACTTCCTTATCCATCCTATCAAAGCTACGCTCCATCAGACCTTTCCACTCCACGGTTTTGGCTCCGCATGCTTCGAGCTCTTCTTTCACTATCTCGTGAAACCGATCTCTGCACTTCATGGCCACCTAAAACAAAATTTAAAAAATGGAGTCAGAATAGGCATAAAAGACGAGAAAAGATTCAGAATCAGTGCTGCAGCTGTTAGTCATGTAACTTACATGAGAGCAACCGTGACCGTCAAATACGCCGAAAAAGTGAATTCCAGGTGAAATCTGACGCTTACTCTCGCAAAAGAAAGGGTGTATGGAGACGGTGTCTTCCATATCTCTTCTCCTTCCACAAACTGACGTCATGCCAAACTTAGGCCACTCCGATTCTTCCGCTACCTGCTCAACCTCTCCCTTCACAGGCTCTGGATTAGCGCAAAGATCTACTGTTTCATTCGAATCGAATCCTTTTTCTTTTGATTCTTCATTTTGCTCTGCTAGATTAATCTGTTCGTTACTATCGCAATTCTCCACCGCATTATCGTAGTCTCGCGGAGAGGATGTAGGGAAGAGATCTAACTTCTGTCGCTTACTACTGTTTTCCAACGGCAGTCGGCCGGCCACATCGGCGACGAAGTTGAACGGACGGAGCTCCAATCTCCGCCGCCTCGAGGCTCGTGAACTCGGCTCCACCGACGCCGTCGGTTCACTCTCCCCAACAACTCCACAGCAAATCCCAGCCATTTTCACTAACGGAACTAGATTTGAAACTCGGAAACTCAAAAACAGAATCGAAGAACAGTTACCGGTAAACCAGAAAAGCCGCTATTATATAAACAAATTGAACTCTACAGAAAAGAGCATATAAACATGGGAGACAGAGAGAGATACGAGAGATCTCAGGGCACCGAGAAGAGGACCCATAAAAATGGCTTGAGACGGAGCTTTTCTACACAGGGACGACCACCTCCTCCTTCATTCCACCTGGGGCCCACACCTAATTACGGGCAACCTGCCCGTCACCGTCCGGGCAAATGACCCGACACTCACAGTTGGTGTGACGTCAATTTACTGAATACAAGACGATGATCTGCACCGTCCATCTCATTGATGCAGTCGAAACATGTGACACGTGTAGTAAGGTAATTAAGGGTTGATACGTGGGCCAATCATTGAGCAACACGAGCAGTTCGAACGACCTCTCTTTGGTCCTGGAGACGACTCTCTCCCTACGCCGCTCTTCGGTCTTCCCCTGTTACCTCGCTTTGTTCAAATTTCGTTTTTGATTTTTTTGCCTTATTTTTTTTTACACTTAAATTAAAAACACATTACCATTGAGGATCTCACCACGTGTCGAGATCAAGGAATAAGAGATTCTGGGTTTATGTTCGACTTGCCACGCGCTCGGAGAGTGATTTATACACAAAGTTAATTAATTTTAATATATTTTAATGATGAATGAACTTAAATATTTTAATAATTATCGTTTTCGTTAAAAATAAAAAATTTTGAGTTTGAATGATATAATATACGGGTGAAATAAGATAAAAAATAAAAAATGATTACTTCTCATTATATAATTAAGATAAAAAATTATATATATTTTTTTATAAAAAAATATTATATTTTCACTTTAAGTATTAAATATTATCTAAACTTTTTGTTTAGATAAAAAAATAACATTTAATCCTTCTAAAACTATCAAGTTTTAGTTTGATAATACTCATTTATAACTATAATGGTAAGTTATTTTGTTTTTTAATATTTTAAAAATATGTAAAATATATTTAATATATTTAATATTTTACATATTTTTTTAAAATAATAAAAAATATAAAAATTAAAACGTAAGATACTGATAAGTATTATCAAATAAAATTTTAATCTTGTTATTAGTAATTTCTATTAAGTTCTTATTTTATTTTCATTAAGTTCCTATCATAAATCTTAATTGAAATTGTGAGAAGTCTAATAAAAAAATTTTACATATGTTTTTTATTTTTTATTTTTATTGTTTTAAAATTACTTTTCCTAAATTTTGAATTATTGAAGTAGCTTAACTCTCTTATTTGAAAAATGTTTAAAGAAAATCAAATTATACAAAGTGTTTATAACCAATTTCATTTAAATCTATTATTACGAGAGTTTTATAATAATATAATAACTAATAACAAGTATAAAGATCTCAATCATTATATAATTTTAAGAATATTGGCCTTCATAACAAATCAAAAATATCATTTGAAAAGATTGGTCACTTTTGGTATTGCACGTTTTAAATTTACATGAAAAATATCTTTAAATTTAATATTATATATAACTAATCAACACTACACATCACATAAATCAATCAATTACAATAAAATCTCTATTAAAAACTCAAACGAAAAAGGATCCTTACTAAAAAATTTTAATAAATTACAAAAAATAAAAGTATAACAATTACAGAGATCTTCAAAAACCTGTTACCCAAAATAAATACGTTACATAGACAATTGAAGATACGCGCACCGCCATCCAATTTTAGAACCTTTATACTCTGTAACTAAATGTGAGAATCACCCAGAGAGAGTCAATTATGAGAAGTTTTCTCAATTTTAGCTGAAGGATTTTTTTTTTTTTTCATAACAATCATTGTACTTTTGAGAATTATTCACTCTAATTTAGTGGTATTAAATTTTGAATTAAAATCATTTATTTTTTATAAATTACATATTTAAATCCTATAGAAACCTTTCTTTCATCTTTAATTAATTTATAAATAATTTTAATATGATAAAAAAAAATTCACCGTACTTTTAAAAAATTGCGATCTTTATTTCGCACTAGTAATTGTTGAGGGGGAGGGGGAGGGTGAGGGGAGGCGACGCTTCCCGGGTGAGAGTGGGCATTGACGACGCAGGGTTTTATTCTGCTGGGTCTCATTGTGTTAATTTTATTTTATGCGAAGAAAAGCGTCTACGTAACAGAGAAGAGAGGTGATATGGACACGTAAGGCACCACCAACTGAGGCCGATTTGACGCTTGTAGAATTATCTGACCTCATATAACCACAACAGTCGACACGTTAATGAATCCGACGTGGATCCGAAGGTGCGCCTCCTCGTTGGTCGCGTTCTACACGTTTCGGCCATTGTACCGCTCGATCTATTTTTATTACTTGCCGTCCTCAACTGCAAACACCACCGCTCACCTTATACTTTTTTGCAAATTAAAAAACTTGCCAATTTGTTCCGGAGAAAATCTTTGACAAATTGAATCTCCACAAGTTTTTTTTATTTTTTTTATTTCTTGGTAATGAGCATTTTTACTATTTAATTAAAGTAATAATATTCTGATAAATTCTATCAATAATTGAAATAACTCAATGATTATTTTTTTTAAATTAAAAAATTTTGAATTTGAATTACATAATATACGAATGAAATGAGATAAGAAATGAAGATGATAAAAAAAAATAATATCCTGATAAATTCCACTAATAAGATTTGTTTTCCTAAATTTTTTGTTAATTATTATTATTATTTTTTAAAAAAAGAAAATTTTTAAAGGACAGAGGTGGCTACTAACTCCCCGAGGATCTGACAAACTTTTAGTTTATATTACTTTTATATATATAAGGAAGTTAAATTTTTTAAAATTATGATAAAAAAATATAAAGTCTTATGTTATAATTCTTAAAAATTTAGAAATTAAAATTCTATAATTTAAGGTTCGACTTATAAATAAATTTTTTTGATTGTGAGTACTCAATTTTTATAAAGAGTGGTTTGCAAATATGCATAGGAATAGACAGGCCAAAAAAATTTAAATACTTATATTGTCTAAAAAAACATGTTTATATTTTATTTACTTTAAAATATAAGTTTTTGATTTTTTTTACTAGTATCTTTAAATGATAATTGAAACTTTTCCTTATATGTAGTATTTATTAAATAATTTTATTTAATTTAAGAAATTTTAAGTCATTTATGTAAAATATATAAAGATATAACTAAAAATTTTGCAAAAAAAATAAACAACTTATATTTTAAATCAAAATGAATATTTTATACATTTATAAGTTTATAACCTCTTTGTATTATACTCTACTTAAAAAAAATAACTAATAAAAAAAATAATAAAAGAAGAAGAAGAAGTGTAACCATATCAATTATTTTTTTTTTTTTACAAGAACAATGATTAGTAAGTTAGTTTTATTAATTATCAGTAATTGAAAATTCAATTTCAGATCTAATAAATATATCATCTTTTTCAATAAAGCACGCGATTATCAACCCGCTTAGTAAAGTTCTATACCAACTATTAACACTATGGTGACATGTGTTAATAAATGATGAGTTGTTATTTGTCCAGCACATGCAAACTTTTAACTAAATTATTTGTAATTAAAATAACAAGTTGGTTAGAAGTTGGAAATTCAAGAAGATAACCGAATCGCCAGAAAGGCCCTTCAAGTATTCCAAATTCACACGGAAAGCACTTATGACAACCGGTAAAGTCGGTTTCCAACTTCGACCTCGACATGTTTGTTGCCCGTACGGTAGACCGATGAAACCACAGACAACGTGGGGGACCGACAGGCCGTACGTGCTCCAGTTAAAATTTGCCACGTAGAAGGTCTCGGCTGTCAAGCATGAGGTGACGCCACGACAAACGAAATAAAATGCCACGTGACGAAGAAAGCATTTATTTATATATACTGTAACCTAACCCAACCCAACCCAGCCCAACC